AGATGGGGCCCCGTGAAGACCTCCATTCAAAAAGCAAGTACCCAAGACCCGACGTAGAGGTCGCCCAAGCACTCGAATGCGCCGGAGCGGCTTATCAGAAGGGGCCCACGACAAGAACGCAAGGCCCTACATTCAAATAAGTAGTGCCAAAGCCCAGTGCAAAGGGCCCCGAAAGATGGAGTGTCTCGAGCAGATTATCCGATGGACCCCGATAAGAGCGCAGGGTCCCTAAATTCAAACAGCGAAACCCAATGTGCAGGGTCCCCTGACCAGTCCAGTGTGGCCGAACAGTGAGGCGAACAGAGCGGCCCCCGACAAGTGCGTAGGCCCACCGTTCAAAAAAGGATGACCCTGGTGTAGTGTACCCCCAACGATCGAATGTGCCTGAGCAGGCTATTGGATGGGCCCCCGACAAGAGCGTAGGGCCCTCATTCAAATAAAACGTATCCAAGACCTAGTGTGGAGGTTTCCCAAAAAGATCGAGTATACCTGAGCAAGCTATCAGATGGTCCCCGATAAGAGCATAGGGCCCTACATTAAACTACTCAATATGCAGGCCCCCAAACAATGCAAAGTGCCTAGGCAGGTTAACAGATGGGGGTCCGACAGGTGTGTGGGGCCTTTCGTTCAAATATGAAATACCCACGACATGGGACCCCGAATGATCGAATGCGCTGGAGCATGCTAGCAGATAGGGCCCCCGTCAAGAGCGCAGGGCCCTCCATTCAAATCGAAAGTACTCAAGACCAGACGCAGAGGTCCCCTAACAATCGAATGTGCCCGAGCAGCTTATGAAAAGGGGCCGCGACAAGAGCATAGAGCGTAGGCCCCTCCACTGAAGTAAGAAGTGCCCAAAACCCAGTGCGGAGGGCCCCCGAAAGATGTAGTGTACCCGAGCAGGTTATCAGATGGCCCCGGATAGGAGAGCAGGGCCCTAAATTCAAACGCCCAGACTCAATGTGCAGGGCCCCCGGACAATCCACTTTGGCCGGAGAGGGTTAGCAGAGGGCATCCCAGACAAGTGCGTGGGGCCTCCACTCAAATAGGGCTTCCCAAGACCCAATGTAGAGGGCCCCCGAAATATCGAGTGTATCCGAGCGGGGTATCAGGTGGCCTTGACAAGAGTGTAGGTCCCTACATTAAAATACCCAGTGTGCCGGGCCCCTAAATAATCCAGTGTGCCGCAGCAGGTAACAGATGAGGCGCCGACAAGTGTGCAGGGCCCTCCATTCCAATGGAAAGCACCCTGAACCCAGTTTCAAGGGCCCCGACCGACAGAGTGTGCATAAGCAGGTTAACAGATGAGCCCCCGACAAGAGCGTAGGGACCTAAGCAAGCGACATAAAATTGGAAGCGCCCTAGACCAATGCAGAGGGCCCATGAGCATATCGCAAGTGTGTCAGTAGGTGAACTGAAATCAACGTAAACGGCCCCGAGCCACCTAGAATACCCGGGAAAGTTAACATGGGGGTCCCCTGGTATAGCCCACAGAGCATTTCTGGCGACTGGAAGGAATCCGTGGAAGCCTCGGATTGACAAGAGCGCCCCGGCACGCTAGCAGGAAGAGCACAGAAACAGTGCAAGGCCCTCCGAGCAAACGCAGAGCAGTCAAGGCTAACGTGGAAGGCTCCTTAACGATCGAAATGACCTTGCAAATGGGCATATAGGTCCCCGGAACAGGATAGGACCCTGGACAGCGTGATAGGGCTTCTAATTTCCAATTAACAACTTTTTCCGTTATTGAATGCTTTTTATCTTTTCTCGTAGGCCATTCAGTTTCGTTTGCAACTGTTCTCGGGTGGCCTGGAGATCCAAAGAAATGTCGTTGTGTTTTGTGTTAAAAAAAACTATCTGTTCGGTCACCTATGGGCCCCTTCGGAGCATATGGACCACTTCGGGGCTCGAGGGGGGTCATGGCTCCGTGACCGCCCTCTCTGGATCCGCCCCTCACTCAATCAGTGGTGGAGGTAGGGCGGGGGGGGGGGGCACAGCGGCCACGTGCCAACAACTTAAGGGCCAGGCGGAGATCATAATGCCGCTGACCTAGCATCGGTGCAGAAATGTGGCATGCACTATCATATAAATGCCGGTAGAATTGCGTTTTCACTTTGCATAGCGACCACTTGTTTCAGTTACACCTTGCCGACACATATAACTAAAACGAAGAACACCAAGCCACCCGAAACAAAGTGGTTGAAATCCGATTATTTTTGTTTCGAGGTAGGCTCTTCTAGGCGACGTGGTTCACATCACAATCCGGACAACTCGTAGATACCGCCTAAGCTTCGGCCCCGTCTAAGTACAAGGAGCGTATGTCCAGAGCCGGCAATATTGACGGGAAGGCCGAATGCCCGCGTGGGTTTTCATCATGACCGGCACCTGACCGTACTAATGAAATTGATAACGGCTGAACTTTGCGTAGCTATGGTTATAACTTTACTTACATGCCTATGAACTGCTCCAGAAACGCTGACGCAAGCGTGCAAAGTTGGCCCAAACTAAAATCGACCGCCGCCCCGGAATCAAACCCGCCACCCACCCGCTACGAACCCAGCAACATCGCGCGGCGCAACGCACCCTTGCGCCGTGTGTCGAGATAACTATCCAGAGAAAAACTATGCCAGCGATGCCCACTGCGGATTGGAGGCGCCGGTTCACCGGCGTTTCAAATTTCGGCATGTGATTTGCGGAGAGCTTGGGAAGGCCGCTAGTTATTGGCTTATGCGAGTTGCACCGAGCCCAGTACTAATTCTGGCTGTTGATTGGCGGAGAACGCGTGCGACTGGTGGCTTGTGTTTGGCGGAGAGGCGGCCTGAAATTTGCGATCGTAGCGTCTGCAGCCGGCGCCACCCTCAGGAGCTTCGAGCGCTGCTGCCTGACGTACAGCCTCCGCTTAAGCCTTAGTTGCCATTCGGTAACAGGCTATTGATCACTGCCTGGCATTTAGCCGGGACAAACTGCAGATTAGTGGGTGTCTAAAGGTGCCAGTTAGTGGGCACAGGGGCGGCGTGTCGAAACGAAGACGGTCGCCAGTTCAGCTCCGTAATGAAGGGGACCCTTAAACAGGTAATAGAGGACGATTGGACACATGAGTAAACTCATGATAGTTCCGTCTCACGCCCTCATCGCTCGGATTTTGATCTGATATTGTCAAAGAGGACGTAATCAGCGCTAAAGTCGCTAGTGACATTTCGAAATCGGGATTATAGACTTCGGCAAGTTAAAATTGTGAGCGTGCAGAGTTGGCAGAGCTGTTATCACTAGAATGCGAAACTGATCATTGGATCTCTTGGCTAGCGAGATGTCACTTAACAGGACCTACTGAGTCCCGCTGTGAGGGATGTTCAAAAGGAATCCTTCATGATCGGGGAATGTGAGAATTGTCCGCGTTTAGGATGGTGTGCGAGCATTTTTTGTTTAAGCTACCAATGTGCAAGTAAGGGATGAAAGCGAGCAGTTAAATAACATTAAGGCGATGGATGAGCACAGAACACTGTGCTTGAACTGAACTTGTTCTGTCAATGGTTGAGTTTTTGACCAAATTGCCAGAAGCCATGATTGCAGTTACCAGACCTCACTTCGCGGCCCAGCACCAGGGTGAATTTTTTTGATGACGTTTAAAAAGACTGTCCAAGGACGGAGCTTTTATATTTCTAGGCCTTTCAGAAATCAACACGTTTGTCGTTTAAGACGAAGTTTAGCAGTTTCATTGGGATGCGCCGCAATGCATGCTGCATCATTTCGTGGTATATTGATCAAAACGTGGACAGGTTACATATAAAAGTTATTGCGTGCTGTCAGACACGATGATAAAAAACAGTTTCGCGGGAGGTGCATTTCTGCAGTATTTTGTAAAGGAAGTGAAAAGCGTCGTTTGAATATGGAAAAGTGAATTGCCTTTTCGATGCATCAGCTGCGCAGTACACGAACAGGCTCTTGTAAAGATTAGGGCAGTTTTGATCAACTTGTACAAGAACAGGGTGATCCAATACAATTAAGTAAGCAAGTGTGCAAATCGAAAACTAACAGAAGACGTGTATGCATTCTAAGGCGCCATTAAGTTCAAACTCGAACAAGAAGTAGATAGCACATCGTGGATAATCGTAATCACGTTTATAGTACAGGCGCAATTGAAAGGAAAATATAATTTACATAAAATATAAAATAAGACCACAATATCTTAAAAGTTTCAGATATCAGCCAACAGACCACGCCCATTGAAAGACCCGCCATCATATCAGTTATTCTTGCTTGCAGGTTTTCGCCATGGTGGTCCTCGGTCAACTGCTGCTGGGCATGGGCCTGAACTTCGGCATGAACAGCGTCACCCTCATCCAAGTGCCGGACGAGCCCGACGGCTTCTCAGCGCCGATCATCTCAACTGGTCGATCGCCGCCACCCTGCTGGGCGCCGTGCTAGGCGGCCTGCTGAGCGCACCGGTGGTGCTGGTGTTGGGCGCGCGGCGCCTGCTGCTGCTCACCATGCCGCTGTACGCGCTCGGCTCGCTGGCGGTTGGCCTCGGCGGCCACTTCGGCTGGACGCTGAGCGGTCGGTTGGTCATGTTCGCGGCGCTCGGCATATCCGAGGGCGGCGTGCGTAGTTATGTGTCCGAGATTGTGCCGCCCACGCGCCGTGCTCTCTTCACAACCCTGTTGAACTTCATGGTGTACCTGGGTCAGGTGCTGGCGCTGGCCGTGGCGCCGCAGCTGCACTGGGAGGTGCTGTTCATCGTGGTAGGACTGGTACCGGCCGCGCTTTGTCTCTTCGGTCTCCTTTTGCTGCCCAACTCGGCCAAGTGGTTGCTTTCGCGCGGCCACTCGGAGGAGGAAGCCGTGCGCTCTATCCGGTTTTTCCGTGGCACGCATGTGGACGCCTCTGCCGAGGTGCTCAGTATCCACGACTCCCTGCAACACGCGCATGTGGACGGCGCCGCGTTGCCCGCGTGGACGTTGCTGCGGCAGCCGGGCACGTGACGCCCGCTGCTACTGGTCTCCATCCAGATGGTATTGTTTGCTTGGTGCGGTGGCTTCACGGTGCTGCTCATCACCGCCTTCGTGCTGGCACCGGTGCGGCTACCGCTAAGCGAGTACCAGCGTGCCATGCTGCCGGCCGCGCTCGCCACGCTCGTCTGCGTCCCCAGCGGCATTATTATCGAGAGATACGGCCGGCTTCCGGTGCTACGTCTGGGCGGCGCACTCTCCGCCATCGGCTGCGCCACGATCGCCGCGTACTTCTTCCTTGCCGCGGAGTCTCAGGAGCGCCTCGGCTGGATTGTACTGACGGGCGCGGCCCTGACGCAGGTGGCCTTTGTTGGTATGATAGCCAACGTCACATTTAACTTCGCCATCGAGCTGCTGCCCAACAAGACGCGCACCTTGGGCGCAAACATCGCCCTTGCTGAAATAAATTTTTGTACATTTGTCCTGATGAAAATGTACCCAGTCATTAAAGGAGCGATCGGTCTGGGTGGAGGCTTCATCATTCACATGTTGGCGAGCTTGTGCCAGGTGTTATTTGCCACATTTTGTCTCAAGGAAACAAAGGGTCTCTCGCTGGAACAGATTCAGCACTTGTTTCGGAGCGCTGACAAGGAATCCTGAGGTGCCACTTGATATCACTAAGTCATCGCCAGGCTCCGCGACATCGAGATCCCGCGTTGATACATCGGAATGAAAAGCTGCATCCTTCTTCGGTAGCTCAGCGACGGCCAAAGCTATTTTGAATCGGTCCGTAATGATGCAGATTTCATCACCACATTGAGATGGGACGCACTGAGTAAGGAATTTCTCCGTAACTGATTTTATCACGCTATCCAGCCTTTCGTCAGTCTGTTGTGACAGTCGGTACGAGCAGGATTATATCCCGGTTTGGGGGCATAAGTCCGCAAAACCGTCCCATCTGTTTCCGTGGCTGGTGTTAAGTGTGATTGTGCATCGTGCTACACACGCAGTGTGGTGCCATGCATATTTAGAAAGCTAACACAAACAGAAGGCACGAACTCGTTTATAACAATGGTGATGGTGAAGGTCAAGTGGGAAAATGCGGGGGAGGCATGGTATTGTGCACACTTTTTGACGTTATTGTCAGGGCTTTGAATATGCTCGATGCAACAGAATCCGGCGAGGTTTTGTCATATATCTGTTATCGTCAAGCCGGGACCGTCGAGTCTGTGACTGTGTGTCAAGGCAGATCCGCTCGCCTACCAACAACGTAACGTGATTTATTGCCGCAAGCTAATCCTGCAAGTGGATGGTAGATACCTGTGCATAGTACTTGCAATGGTGAAACAGACGCCGTGAGAAATTGCCGTGACCAAAACGGCGGTCTCACGCAAAATGTTCTAAGATTTTGGAGATTGTACAGAATATCATGGCAATATACTTATGCTCCCAAGGGATGGAATATTTTGTATTGTTTCAAATGTCTTACCTAATCCTATGGCATTAGCTGTCCCGAGACACGTTGCCTGAAACTGGCAAGACTGTTGTCACAACGCAATTTGCCAGCGCATTTCAAAACGTCCTGCATCGCATCGTGCAGACCGCGGTTGGAGCACAGTGAAAGTCAGGGAGCTAGAATCGCTTTTAAAACTGGGTGTGAGTGAAAATTTCCATCGCAAAAAAACATGCGGGAGTGAAAAAATGAATTGAAAAAAGATGTAACTTATGAGCTCGTGACTGATGCTTCAGCAAACAAAGACATCTATTTCAAGTTGGCATAGACGTAATATCAGGAACCTGACAAAAACATTTCGTTTTTTAACATCTTAGGCCATTAAAGTGAAACATAATACATTAACACGCGCTCGGGTGGGAGGTGGGGGGCGAATTGACCTCCCCCCGAGGGTGTTTCCCGAATGGTTTCTGAACGGCGCGGTGTAGCCGCGCCAAATTTTGCATGGCTGTAGAAAATTGCATAGCGGATCGTTTGACATACAAATTTTAGATGTACCTTGTAAGGTCGCTAACCTATGGCAGGTCAAAGTCAGCCCATGGTTTCAGCGAAGGCAATTTCTAGGGAGTCGTTCAATCTGATACAACAGCTGAGTGTTTGACGAAGACGTACATCTCTGAGATGCTTTCTTAGGCACTACAAATATTATATGATCAAATTGCGTTGACCTAAGGTCAGGTGTGATGGTCAGATCAAGGTCAAAACCACACTGATTTATTACTCTATGGCTTGCTTTATGGATTGTTTCCGGTGCTCATTTCGAATTTGTTGACAGCAGGAATCGCATTGTACATCTTCAGTTGACTTCTTAGAGGTTAGAACAAGCCATTGACCTAAGATGACCCGGGTCGAACGTTTTGTTTTAGGAACATACTGCCTAGTGTAATCTTTGTCGCTTGTTTAAATGCAAAACGCGGATAAGTCTTGTATCATTTTGGTCACCACAACCTTCAGAGGGTCAGATGAGGTCAATGACCTCAAATGGGCTTGTGATCTTGTCCTTAGAGACAGTTGCCTATGTTCCGGGGGCGCTTTGGCGACCATCCTGGAATTTGACCTTGTTTGACCTTATTCAACCTGAAGGTCATGATCTAGGATGCTGAAACTTTAACCTAAGTGAGTTCACGTATAGGTCAAGACACCCTGTAAATTTGGTGTATCTAGCTTTCTTAGTTCCCGAGGTCCCAGAGGGGGGGGGGGGTTCAAATTGACCCCCACTCCCCACCCGAGTGAAGGGTATCTAGTCGGCCAACCGGGCGCGTGTTAAAACATAGTAATTTCATGACAGTGTTATGAGCATAACAAATTATTAACGCCAATAATTTGATGCTGCACTTCCCAATTCCCTTCCACAGCACTTTTAAAACAAAACAAAGCAAAGGAATTCAATAACAAAATAACAACAGAAAATTCAACAAGCATAAAACACCCAAACATAAAAGTCTTGGACTTCTACACATCAGCCCATCACCAAGTCAAACACAAAAGACGTATTTCTGGCTTCTGTTAAGATGGGGTCAGGGAAAACAAACCTTTTGTCACTGTTTCTTACAAAATACCAATGCTTATTTCCATGAAAGTAGCCTACGCCTAACCTGAAGAGGCCTTACATCATCTCATCCCGTATAACCCGTTTTTATCACAGCAGCAGTTGTGAGTTACTGATTCTGATTCCTGCACAGTTCCTATTGCCAATTGCCATGCACTTGACCAACTTAACCTAACTTAGAGTAGCCCATATGATGAGCATCATCTTAACTCACCTGTCTGTTGACAGCAGCACTTGCGATATAAACATGATATTTAAAGCTAGTTTTTGGCTGGTTCCAACTTGCATTTGTATTCAGTTCATTTGTGTATGCTTGTTGACATCAGACAAAGTTGACAAAGTTGATGGTATGACCAAGGAACAATGGGGCCCCGCGGGATGCCGGATTATGCACGATGGTAGCTAAGTATCCGTTGGTGTGCAATGTCTTGGGAGAGAACAGGACACAGCCTGTTCTCTTCCGACTTGGTATACGCTTGGCCCCACGAGCTCTTGACGGCGGGATGTTCGTGAGGGACAGAGGTCCAGCCATCGACGCTTATTGGTAGGGCGACAAGGGACCGGGTCGCCGGACAGGCCGGTCAGGCCGAGTCTCCAGAGCGCGCCGGTCGTGTACACCGTAAGGCGTGAACGCAGGTTACTCCGGGCGCCCGTCATCTGCCAAGTGCTCCATCGTCCCATCGGGCGCGCTGTCTCCTTCCAGGCCTGTGAGGGACGCGCCATGGGGCGGTGCCTTGCAAAGCTCATTCCGGCAGGAGGGAGGCGAGGGCGCAGAAGCGCCGGTGGCGACGTCTCCGTGCTGGACGAGGCGACGCCTGAGGTGCGTGCGCGGGGGCGGGAAGCTGCGAGCGGTGGGCGTGGCCGAAGGAATGGTGGGCCGCCCATCGTGGACGGAACGCGGGCAGCGTCGTCCGAACAGCGAGTCATCACCCTGGAGGTCAGGCGAGGGAACGAGACACAATCTACCATTCCCAATCCCCTCTGAAAAGGAAACTGTTTGTCTATAGGTTTATTATGGTAAGTATGTCTTTATCTGGTAAATTTATTAGTTTACTCTCAACCATCATGAAATGTCTGATGGCCAGCTAAAGATACTTGACGTTGTTGCAATGAGCTCCCGAAGCGAACATTTCTGATGCTTATGCCGCACTTTTATTTAATCTTCCTTGTTTTTGTGGTTTATGGCATTTTAAGTCATGTTGCAATGATTTCTGATAAAGATGGTCCCAGGTGACAATTTAGGCGGCTCCTGATGTCGCCAGTGACAGAAAAGGCGCTTTTTCACCCGAGTCATGCCATGAATTCGCCATGCGGCGATCAACGCCAATAACAATAAAAATTGGAGCGTTCATATCTGGCGTTCTTGTCCAGATATACCGGCTGTCAATTGACTCTGAATCAATTTTGTGCGAGGTAAGATGACGTAATGAAACAATGACGTATTAAGCACCATATGTACTAAACAGGGCAATTGTTTTGCTAGAGCAAATTTTTCTACTCATATGTATACCAATAGTTATAAGTGGACCTATTTCATAATATATCATGCTTGGTTCAATATCTGTAAATGAGGAGAATTCTGTTAAAATTGCATGCGCCGTCTGCTGCCGGTCTTCAACAGCCGTCATTCATTCCTATATTCCTTCATTCATTTATTCGTTGCGGCGGGAAACATGAGGCATAGTGAACATCAAATGCATTATCCGAACACCTTGCTTTTGAAGAATACCACAGAAACAAAACATGTCGTGTGGATAGTAATTTACAACGGGTGCGACAATGGCCATATAAATGCCGTAATTTTTCAGCAAGGCTCACTGCTACGGCAAAACAGCAGTCACATCGACTGAGCGGATGTGTTTTGTGGCCATTAAAGAGCCTGAAAATGGAAATATCATACAACGTAGGACAAAAACATTGCAATAGCACTAACATGTAGCACGGGCGATATTAGGCAGATCTTGTATATGCAGTGATAAAAGTGCGGTTTTCTTGCACTTTTGGAATGCGCAGTAGTGCTCCAACCGTGGCAGAATGTGGAAAGCAATATTCAAAAGCTGGATGGTTGTTCATTTTGTCTTAGTAAGCAGATTATAGGGTTCATTACAGACGAAGGCCTGAAATGAAGTTTACGGATCATTATTTGTACTGCTTTGCTGCGCCGCATCAGCTTCGGCGCGTGCGTAAGTTGCGTGAAACCGACAAGTGCTATGGCAACGCTTACGTCAGGCTCGAATTAATGCATAGTTAAATGGGGTTCCTCCGACTTGTGAAACAACCGCCTCTCAGCACACAAAGGCGTTTAAAGAGGGTGCGGGAGAGGTGGGCACCACCGATTTTCGTGAAAGTTGTAAGCGAGTCAACCAATGATGCTGCACAAAAAACTGACTTACAGACTCATTTTTCATGACCTACCTGCGTCACCACCTGTCAGCACATCACACCTGGTTCGCGTCAGGCATCCCGACCGGCAACCAGAAGTCATGTCGGGCAGGATATCCCATGAATGATATTGAATGAATTTCGAAATCATGCGAACGCATATCGTCCACGCATAGAAGCTCTGTTGCTTAGCAAAGCAAACAGGCAAGCAGCCGT